AGTAGCTTTGATTAGACATTTTATTACTACTTAGTTTCGTACCACACACATGGTGTCACACCATGTGTGTGGTACGAAACTAAGTAGTAATAAAATGTCTAATCAAAGCTACTGTTGCACCTCGCTTTTTATTTATTTATATATATATATTATAATATCACCTAAAGCAAAAATGTTCAGTTGCTATTTGCATATTAACAGGAAATTATAGCAGAAACATCCCAAAGAAAACTACCAGAGCACGACTGGCCGTAACAAAAACAAGACTAAGTCAGCAGAAAGAAGCTATGTTAAACCGACGGTTATTCACTATAATAGTAGTAGAATAATGAGAAATCCAGTCAAGGTCATATCTTGTCCTATGATAATGTCCACACGGTAGTTACAGTCCTTCTGTTAACTTATAATGATGTTTTAATCAACAACAAAACAAAATTATATTATTAAGCAATGCTTTGGATCTGGAAAGGTGAAGTCCGTCTGCTGGGCTTTAAGCTAGATGGCATGTGGTGGAACGTGGGCACGCCCCCCTCCCATCCTGTTTTGCCACTACATTTTGAAATTTCAAAGCATATGTTAAATTTAGCGCTATTCACTTATCTATTCTGAAAATGCTGTGTCCCCTCCCCGTTTAACAATCCCATGCTAGTATACCATGTCAAAAATGATTGATAAATAGGCTAGTAAAGCACAATAGAGAGATTTCGCAACCTTACAAAAACGATAACGAATACGAATACGTCATCTTCATTATCGTTATCCGGCCTAAAACACTACTTGACAATTATATAGGAGCTGAATATATATCGTTAATTCATGTAGACGTAGTGACAGGTATGCTCTGTAGGGGATGGTTAGACCAGGGAACAGTGAAATTTCACTGTTCCCTGGTTAGACTACAAGTTCGATGACGTAACCGTACTCCTTTTCGTTTTTATAAGTTTGCGAAACCTCCCTAATAAAATGAAACAAATACGGATTTGCAGCGATTTGTTTTATCGTCCCTAGAGCATTCCCTACAACTGTATAACTAAATGTGTACCTAAGCCTATTGAACGACTCTTGTTGCCTATTCCTGGCTCATACTTAATACTCTGCAGTGTGTATTTTGAAACTTAATTTTCATTTGAAAGATAACAAAATACCATAAATTGTCCTTGGGTATCGTATGTCAAGTTTTGTGCATCATTTTAATTCTTACAGTTAAGTGGAGAGGTAACCTATTACAACCTTTCATATCCATTGTGTAGTCATCGCCTTTATACAAATGGTGTCTTTCCTATATCCGCCAGCAAAATATTTCAAAGCAGTAGTACACCATTTCTTTTTCTAAACTACACAAAAGCATCAGAGAATTCACAGACCTTGACTATCTGGAACTTTTTTTTGTGCTTTTTCTTATCTATAGAAATCGATCAACCCAAGCAATAATATAATAGTTTGAATTAAGTTGCAATGTAAAGACCCAATTCCATAACAAGATATGTTACAATTACGTTTTTAGTTCTAGTGAAAATTCTGCCTTAGTACACTCTCGACTGTCTTAAAAATGTGAACCTTTTCCGATTAGGGGAGGCGTACGCATCCATTCACGCCTCCCCCACCCCCAGGTTTATTATTGATACGGGTCTGACGATGCATTCATAATAAACCTGGTGTGATGGATGGAGTATGAATTTGTGAACTAACCATTTATAATTATTTATTTATTTTTAAATTAATTATTGATCTCATTATTTCAGTTTCTATAAGTGAGAATTTTGATATTTATATAGAACGAAGAGATGTTATTTATTGTTATAACTTATATGATTTTGCTGCATTGGGGAATTAAATAAATACAAAATAACCATAGCGTGTTATTCAACATTCAGGGATGCACTTCACTCACTAACACACAAGATTACGTATGTTTTACATTGTTTTAAATCCCACACATAAGCAACAACATCCAAGTGGCAGCGCTTAAGCGGAAAGGTATTCACACACATGAGAAAATCATGTTGGAAATTTTTAATTTTCTTTTTAAAGGCAGTGGAATTATTTTTAGAAATTGTAATAATTTATCGGCTGAGTTTTAGAACAATAT